AGTTCTTGCACCTACTCATATACCCTTCTCACAGTACAGGGCATGCACCCCTCTCGTTCTATACAGTTCTTGCACCTACTCATATACCCTTCTCACCTGTACAGGGCATGCACCCCTCTCGTTCTATACAGTTCTTGCACCTACTCATATACCCTTCTCAGAGTACAGGGCATGCACCCCTCTCGTTCTATACAGTTCGTGCACCTACTCATATACCCTTCTCACAGTACAGGGCATGCACTCCTCTCGTCTAATACAGTTCTTGCACCTACTCATATACCCTTCTCACAGTACAGGGCATGCACCCCACTCGTTCTATGCAGTTCGTGCACCTACTCATATACCCTTCTCATTTATATCAAGCACCCTTGTCATATTGGATGCTTCATCCATTTAACATTATACACGACAGGCAATCTCTTTACATTGTACACTTCAAGCATCCATTTCAATCCGCACATGATAAGCACAAGCACTTCAAGCATTCATATACTACACGTAATAACGACAAACACTACCTTGAACATTTCAAATCTACTGCACACTACACACGGTAAGAACAACTATCACACATCATACACTCTTTCACTTTGTTGTTTAACGCCGCACTCAGCAGGATTCCAGCTATATGGCAGCGGTCTGTAAATAATCGAGTCTGGACCAGACATTCCAGTGAACAAATCATGAGTATCGATCTACCCACTTGGGATACGATGACATGTGTCAACCACGTCAGCGAGCCTGACCACCCGATCCTGTTAGTCGCCTCTTACACTTCTAGCATATATGTCACACACGAGAATCTCAACCATCACACAATACACTTCAAACATTCATATCACACACAAAAAGCTCAAGCACTACATTGTACACTTCACGCATCTATGTCACACACGATAAGCACATCCATTATACAATACACTTCACGCACTCATATCACACACGATCAGTACAACCGATAAATTGTACACTTTAAGCATCACACATGATACACTTCACATGAACGTTGTACCTTTCAAGCATCTATTTCACATTACACATATCCATCACATATCCACTGCAAGCATCCTTCTGGCATTATACAGTGTAAACACCAACCGAATCCTGCTTGGATTTAATTGGTAAAATTTACCAGACAGATAAAGAAGCAATCCGCCTTGCTGACGCGTGTTAAATGTGTTACTCTGTAGGCTGGACCAGGATGCTGGTAGAACAAGGAATGTATCGTTCTTTGGCTCACCACAGCTTGTGGGTTGAGCTTTATTGATACGGTAGTCCAACAAGGTTAGCGCAGGTACTGGAATCGGTTGCCTTTCAAGACTAAGTCCCAAGGGGGTCGTTCTCATTGCCGCGTTAGAGACCGCTGCTAGGTTTGTAAAGGCCTGGGCACTGTTACAATGATTTATATGAATCTGATTCAGCGCGAATGTATTGAAAGGAACTGTGAACATGTGCAAGCTGGTTCCTGTATGTATTTAAAATACAATGCATTGACGTTAGAACTAAACATTTTTGGCATTTTATGTTCTGATTTCCATAGTCACGTTCAAGGTACAACCTCAGGTTGTTAAGCTTCAACCACTATGTAATTATGCTGATTGACTATTGGCTATTAGCAATCTCTGTAATGTTGCAACCACAGAGACTGCTGTCAAAGAATATCCTCTTGTCACTTTAGCATAATCCGGATACCATATTTGGGAATAGAACAATGGATATGAAGACTATATCTTCCATGCCTATGGCCTGTAGTAACGTAATAACACAACCGAGGGAATGGCACACTGTATTTGGTCTGAAATCTAACATTCCACTGAACACATACCTCAAGTTTCTAGTAAACAGCTGTAGTTTGACAGAGGTGGCAGACCAATTTGGCCAACCGTCGGGAATAGGGCTGCAGCTGTTTTGACAAGTAGACATTTTAATTTCATAAACGTTATACGCTATACACGATATTTCAAAACTGCAAAACTAGGAAGGAATCAAAAGTAGGATTACAAATGAAGAGGAAGTACTACATTAATATTATCTCCACACCATATCTTAAACAGTTTCATTATAATAAATGACGGACATTCATTGACCATTGTGGCTCAATTTCGTTGAAGACTGAAGTACGTTACTGGTCTATATTGAAACACCCATTAATGCTGGACAGCTGAAATGAGAGACACAATAGACTTTGTGCTGCGACTAGATATCATTCAGCTAACACTGCCATATATTTCTTAAGGAACACTATGAGAATAAATATAGTTTTAAAATCTAACAACAATGTAGTTTTAGGTGGAAGACAATGTTTTTCAACAGTCTGAAGCGTGATTATTTTTAGCAGTTTCCACGACAAGTTATTTTGTTTTCGGTAGTGTTCTCTTTCACTTAGAGCATCGCACTGATATCGCCGTTTTTCGATACGAGAAAGATACCCGTGAAATTACGGGTTAAAATTGGTCTTCAGCAACCCATAATTGTTGACACATGTCATCAGATCCCAATTGCGTAGATCGAAGTTCATGCTGTTGATCACTGGATTGTCTGGTCCACATTATTTACATACCGCCGCCATTTTGCTGGAATATTGCTGAGTGCGGCGTAAAACAACAAACAAGCCGATACGACAAAGAAGTAAAGTTAAGTCTGACATATGATTTTTGTATCTTTCTATCATTTTCCCTTGATATGCCTGGCGTTATGCCTGATTTGTGTCACCCGACAATTACAAACCGTATTTCGTCTATAATGCGCTCTCATTATTTAACCCAAGTGTTGACACCGCGTCTGTTTCGTTGGCACAGTGGTAACCCACCTTACGGAATCCCAAATCCTTCAGTCAAACATGCATGCCGTTAGTGATAGGCATAATCAATTTCATCAAAAGACTCACCTGGCCTTTATTATTTAATCTATTGTAAGATCCGACGTCTCGTAATGGAATTCGATGCCTATAAGAGGAAATACGGTACTACTGATTATTAGGATTGGGCTTCGATGACAAACGGCTCGTTACACTGGGTTCATTTGCCTACATTCACCTACATTCACATTTCAAACTTACAAAAAGCTGACGAAATTATGATTAATATGCTCACTGCACTCGATATTGTTTCCGTTATAAACATGTTTGTTGAAATACCTAATGCAGTATGATTGGCCTCTCTGCTTGTAGATTAAACAACATGAACTTATGTAAACAGACAGCCTTCGTCGACCACAATATACTATTGGTATATAGTATTCAGCATTTGCCCAGAACCAAATAATCACCAATAGGCAAACCACTGCATTCAAATCACTTCAGGGATTTAAGGGTTAAATTTACATTCAGTACATATGCACTTAAAAGTATTCCATTAACTGTCAAGCCCTTTGTCTGCCCTTTGGCCAGCACTGAAATCAGAATGTGTTAACGTCCAGACATTATATAATATCAATATAACCCCCCTCTATATAGATAGATATAGATATAGATAACATATGGATATATACATCCTTTCAAAAGTTTAGACTTAAAATACTCACTATATGTTATGTATATGGTTACATCGAAGATTGATTTCTCCACTAACTTGGGGGAACCAACTGCAAACCTGATGCAGATGAATTGCACGAGGATCATGCATCAAATTGCTGAAAAGCATGTGCAAATATCGTGCATGTGAACAGCTGCGTTTTGGTGTAAAGTTTTATTAAGAATTCGCCAATTTTCACTGATTTTTATCATTTATTGAACTCCAAGCTCGCTGGATTACTAGCCAGGCGCCTTGGACAGCTCGCCTACCGCGCCCCCATGTGTAAACATGTACAGTACTTTTAAACAGTATGGAATATTTTGCGAAATTTAGTTTAGAACAGTTGCCTGAAGTAAGTGGCTGTTTTTACACTAGTGAGTCTAAACTTTTGAAAGGACGTATAGCTACAGATATGGATTCTCGAGCCTAGGTCAGATTGGAGAAAATGTATAAGTTCCGGTGATAATTATCAGAAGATTTATGCACGGTATTTTCTTCTTCTAATTATTTTGTTATTTTGTCTAGCAAGAATAGAGAGATGTATTACTTCCGGCTAATGAAAGTAATAATAATATATTATATAGTATTGCAAATAGGTGTACCGTCTTTGGCGTTGTACGGTAAAGGTAGCAGTGTGGGGTTGTGTATCAGTGAAGAGGACCATCGGTCTGCATATGTCCAGGAATGGTACATACTAATCATATCCCACCAGGTGTGTAGGCAAATTATCCTTCCAAATCTCGAGGCATGTGACAAATGTGTCAGGTGTCAAGGTTTAGCGATGTAATTTCAGACTTTCAGATGACGGGATAATGCTACCTTCCATGTGTGTGTGTGTGTGTGTGTGTACATGCATCCTTCCATGTCTCTAAATGTGTCTATATATGCAATCATGTGTCGCAATATGGTACGTATGTTCACATGTGTCAATATATTGTAGTTATGCCCCAACAGGTGTCTAGGTCTGATAAGGAATTTCGTCATGTGTCAATGTTTTATGGCTCTTTTTTCTGTTGTAGATGATGTCGTTCAGATAAGATCGGAGTGCTGAAATGAGCACGTCGCCGGTGGGACACGATAGGCCCCCTCCACCCAGTCTGCGTTATGACTTCCTCTCTGTGCCTGAGTATGCTCCTGTTCCACATCTGGTCAGCAGCCCCACCAGCCTCTCCGTTCCGGGGCAGTTTTTTGGAGGTACCGGAAGTGGTGTACCTCGACGTGCCAGCAGCACTGCCTCGTCTATATTTGACCTGTCTTCAGAGTGTGAGCAACTGGAAAAGGCGCTCAAGGAGAATGATACTTTCGGTGTGAAAAAAATCCTTCAAGTGCATCACAGTAAATTCCCCGTCAATTTACACGGCAGTATTTTAGACAAGTCCAGCTGCGACTCCCGCAGTAGGCGCACTAGTCACGTGAGTCAGGATGTGGAAATTCTACTCCGCAAAAGTCAAACCTTAATTGATCATCTTGACCGCCGGGAAAGTTTCAACACCGACGTCAGTGACGTCCCGACAGTGTTCCGTAACTGCTTACACATAGCCATTCAGAACAACTCCATCGACGTACTCAAAGTCCTGCTAAAGTATGGGGTGGACTCTAACGAGCCCGGTCACAACTTGCTGGGCACCAGTCGCAGACCAAGCAGTGCGATCGAAGCTGGCAACAATAACACTCGCCAAGAGGCCAGGCTCGTCGTAGGAAGTACCAGCTTTGATGACAGTCGCGATTGTGTCTTTGTGCCTGTGCATGCAAATCTGAGTCCACATCGTCAACACTGCCCTTGGCAGATCAGCCAAAATACCACAACAGTGTCGGCGGCGGTGGATTCAGTCAGCAGCGCGAGCCACGTGCCGCGGGGTTTACAACATGACCGACTGCCTGAAATCATTGAGTCTTCTGCAGAGGGAGAGTTCGATTTTGCGAGAATTTATAGCGCAGAAGAGTTGTACAGCTTACCACCTCTGTACATAGCGGTAGTAGAGGGTAAGCCTCATGCGCTCCATCTCCTGTTAAGATACGGAGCTTTACCTAATGTTCAAGACAGGTATGGATGTACACCTCTACATGTTGCCTGCTGTTCGGAGTTCTTTAACTGGGACTGTGCCTATTACCTTATAAAATACGGAGGTAAAATAAGAATTAAAAACCACTTGGGTATATGTCCCCTCAGCTTGTGGCCTGAACTGCTCCACGAGCAACAATCACTGGTAAAAAACGCCTTGTCGTTGAAACCATCCCCCCGCAGCCATGGCAGACGGTTGACGGGCTCGGTGGGCCATGCAAGTCAGCGGTCAGAGAGCATCTCGCGCTTCTTTAAGAGATTAGGAACCGATAGCAGATCTAAACCCAGGGAGAAACGAGTTACCAAAGATGCCCATTCCGATGGAGATATGAGAGAGAGGGCCTCTTCAGGAGGCTCTTTCAAAAGTGTACGAAGTAGACACCAGGCCTCGTGTGTAGCAGACGACAACGACAGTGATACATCTTTGGTGAGTACTCGCACAACAAAACACTGATAGCATGCCGTTTGTTTCAAGTGTAGACAGTCATCAGATGTGTTACCGTATTCAAATGTTACATCCCTCGGACATTGTGAAACCGTTCTTTCCTAATAACCCAGCAAGTACCATAGGACACAGGGTAGTAACTAGCTATTGCATGACCAATACATAGCAAAACATGCCACAGGGGACGTTTGCTGTTAATACGTTTGTTTAGTCATTTAATCCATGTTATTTAGTGCCCTGGAGTGTTAACCAAAACTGGATGTTCCCAATTGCCCTATATTCCAATTCTCGCCATTGATTACGCTTGAGGCTATCTGATCAGAAGCTGTTCATCAGCGCGTTTACACGCAAAGCTAGTACCGAGGGCCGAAGAATACCTGCTTTGTGCTACGGCAGTAGTATCATGTTGATATTATATGAAGGTAACTGGAAAACTGGTTTTACTTCTATTACAGGCTGTTGTGCTCCATTGATCCAAGCGAGCATTTCTGGATGTTAATGTATAATCGCATGTGTATATCCCCACATAGGCAATATTGCCGTAATCATATATTATATAGGATGAAAATAATGCGTGAAGAAGTAATTTATAGCTTTTAGATACATTGTAGCTATCTTTATCAGATGACTTTTCTAATCCCACTAAATTTTATTTGGTTATCTGTTTGTTCAAGTTTATATTTGAAACATATTTTTCATTTCTAAATTTAAAATTGCATATAAATAATAAATTGTAACCGTCTTTAACAGACATTTTATCAGTCAAGTGGTTGAGAAATGTGATCAATAAATATAAAGTTTCTTTAGCAGCTGGGTGTTTAAAACACTTGATACAGTCACTTCCACAACCATTCTAGTAAACGCGGAAAATCCGATCGATATATTTAGATGCACGGGTTCATTTAGAAATGCCATTAAATATTAAATGACCTTAAATATCACATCGGGTTGAGGGTAGATGGTGTGTACATGCGCTGATCTATGTACTGACAAGCATGAATACATAATCCATATACGAGAATGGTGTCATACTAATTTGTGCTGCAATTACCTTCGATCGATACTGCATGAAAGGTATCACTTGCTATGGGTTGGTGAAGAGAGCATCCTCACACCCGACTCTGCGATTATGGCAGAGCCATTATCCTGCTCTGGTCGTCAACTACACGTAATGTCAATATGATGACGTTGCTAGAGGAGAATGGTGACAATAGGTGCTCAGTGACCCCCAATCCCTAATAATTGACCCGGGTCATGACAGATAGAGACAATCTCTTCCTAATCCCCATTTATACAGCTGCAACCTTGGGATACCCACTCCTTGTGAACAATGGCGAAATGACGTTTTGCTACAATTTGTTGGCCAGATTAACGACTGATTAATGCAGATTAATCCGAGTGGAGAGAGTTGATGTGTTAATCGCCCCCCTGACCCCCGTATTGATTCTGTTGTTGGAACAGATGCCCAGTACCCGGGTTTATCTATGGGATTTGTTGGTGACAGTGTGAGCTAGTTGAGTATGCGTCAAATGGGCGTTGAGCTCTGCTGTTGCCTTGAACCATCGGGTTGACTGAACAGAAATATTTACACACCAGATAACATTGCTGGAATATTGGTTACGGTCATGCTGAAAATACAACTCACTGTAATACATAACTTACACGGAGATGACACAGATGTTCCATTTGAATCATTTTAAAGTATTGTTTTATTGTGTAGTTGTACTGACAAGAGATCGGTCACATGACCACGAAACTGACGTGTGTTTTGACATTAACACGTACTACCTGAGACTGTATTGTTGAAATGACGTAATCTCTGCTCCGACGTACCTACGTACGTACAGTTTTGGCCATCATTCTTTAAAGGTCCACACTCCAGCGAACTCAGACACAGTGAAAATTATTTCTGAAGTAAATATAATAGACAATTTCTTGTTACTAGCTACAGTTTTGTCAAGCATAATTACGGAATTTCAGCTGAATAGCGATGTGCTATATTCACCATATGATTTTTTTCATTGCTACATGACAATATTAGATGTGAAAACTTGTTTGTCGCATTCATTGATTTGATATCAGTGACAACACTGGCGTTTCAATAATGAAAATCTTGCTCCTAGAAAGATTATTCCACAGCCTTTTGTATAGTCTGTTTTTGTGAGCTTTTTCTACTGAACATTGTCATGCCATTGTTCCCAAGGTTCTCAAGGTCGATCAGATAAATAGCTACGTTGTGACCTAGACGTCTTAGAGCGCTTGGATATACTACTGACAGAGGGTCTTATGTTGAGTGTCACGTACACCACAATGCCTGAACAAATAGGACTAAACCTGGCCCAGTTGCACCAGCAAACACTCCTACAATGAGAGGCAGCCGCTCATCCCAGAGAACCAATCCTATTACGTTTGAAAGGCTATCAAATCTCGCCAAAACTATCAAAATCCGCTGTTGTGTTGTGAGCATAACTCTCGAAAGGTCCACATCATAAACGACTGTCATGAAATTCAAATCAAGCTGTAGACACATCTGTAGTAGGTTGACGGACGTGTCCTTGTTTCAGGTGATCGTTAGCCTAACACGTGTCCTTGTTTCAGGTGATCGTTAGCCTAACACGTGTCCTTGTTTCAGGTGATCGTTAGCCTAACACGTGTCCTTGTTTCAGGTGATCGTTAGCCTAACACGCGTCCTTATCATGACGTGACCGTTGCCTTAACTCGTGTTCTTATTTCATAAACTCGTTGTTCTCACTCGTGTCCACATTTGACAAGACTGTTGCTCCAGCCAGTGTCCATAATTTTGAGAGAAACGTTGTAGTAACTCGTGTCCATATTTGACATGGCCGTTGCTCTAACACGTGTCCTTATTGGCGAATCGTTGCATCTCAAAAATCTAAACAGCATCTGTTGATAGATATATTTCAACAGTCTGTGCGACCATCATCTGACAGGTCTGCGGCGCTGTAGCTAAGCGACACTTCGTCTACAATGCGCATGTCTCCATCAAGATTGGTCTCATCTGGCCTAGTCCTTCCACTGATTATCTTCGGACAAATTTGTAGATAATTACGTACAACAGTAGACGAAACAGGATCTGTGTTCTAAACTGTTTGTCAACGTGCCAGAGACTCGTAACATGCAATAACGACGCTATCCAGTTACTAGTACACAGGTGACGGTCAAGTGACAAGCTTGAGTTGTGACCAACTTGACATCGTTCATAGGATATTTGATTGTTACAGGTGAAAAGTTGAGCATGTAGCAAGTGGGAGATGTTACAAAAATGGACATTTGGCATATGGGACATGTTGCGGTTTGGACATGTGAACAGATGGGCATGTTACGTGCAGGACATGTGACCAGGGAGACATATGTTACGTGTACGACATGTGACCATAGGGACATGTTACGTGCAGGACATGTGCCCAGGGGGACATATGCTAAGTGTACGACATGTGACAACGAGGATATTCTGCCTACAGGACATGTGACCAGAGGAACGTGTAGCATGTGGGACAAGTGACCAGTGGAACTTCTTACGCATACATGTGACCAGAAGGATACGTTACGTGTAGGACATGTGACCAGAGAGACATGCTACGTGTACGACATGTGATCTGAGAGACATATGTTACGTGTAGGACATGTGGCTAGAAGGATTTGTTACTTGTACGACATGTGACCAGAAGGATGTTACATGCAGGACATATGACCAGGGAGACATGCTACGTGCAGGACATGTGTGCAGAGAGACATGTTACGTGTACGACACGTGACTAGAAAGACATGTTACGTGTACGACACGTGACCAGGGAGACATATGTTACGTGCAGGACATGTGACCAGAAGGATATGTTACGTGTACGACATGTGAACAGAAGGATGTTACGTGCAGGACATGTGACCAGAAGGATATGTTACGTGTACGACATGTGACCAGAAGGATATGATACGTGTACGACATGTGACCAGAAGGATATCTTACGTGTACGACATGTGAACAGACGGATGTTACGTGCAGGACATGTGACCAGGGAGACATAAGTTACGTGTACGACATGTGACCAGGGATACATGTTACGTGCAGGACATATAACCAAAATGACATGTTACGTGTACGACATGTGACCAAAGGAACGTGTAACGTGCAGGACACGTGACCAGGGGAACATGTTACGTGCAGGACATGTGAAGCCAGAAGGGGCAAATTGGGAGTACGTCAATGATCACTAATGTTATCTGTAAGGCACGTAATCAGTGGGATATGTCACCAGCATGTGACCACTAAGTCATTTCGAGTGTGGTGTGTTCTGTGTGAGCCTCGTACCTCACAGTTATGGCTACCAAACTTATAGCTCACCCAGCGTTGTTACCCTTGTTTTATAATCGGATATTGCGTTGATAAGTGTGCAGTTGCATGATAAAACAGTATTATCAGCGACATATATGAGTGAATATGACACGAATGGTTTGTCAGTCAGCAGAGTTTATAGGAACATAGGTCCATTTAGTAAGATATACGCAGTATGGCCCCGTTGGACCTTTACAAATGTCCATTATTCATTTGTTTTGACGCCATATTTTCATTTCTACAGAATTCTTATTTAGGATGTGTCCTAATCAAGCTGACACGCTATGGAAAACTGTTCAAGCAACTACTACCCTAGTACGTAGTGAGTGAGTGAGTTTAGTTTTACGCCGCACTCAGCAGTATTCCAGCTTTATGGCGGCGGTCTGTAAATGATCGAGTCTGGAACAGACAATCCAGTGATCAACAGCATGATCATCGATCTGCGCAATTGGGAACCGATGACTTGTGTCAACCAAGTCAGCGAGCTTGACCACCCGATCCCATAAATCGCCTCTGACGACAAGCATGGGTTACTGGAGGGTCATTCTAACCCGGACCTTCGCGGGTTTTTGCTTACAAAGTATCAAGAACCGCGTATTCAGCAACAGTACCAAACACGAGCAGATACATC